TTTTATTTCTTGGCATATGCACATGATACTAAAATAGAATAGACTCAAGTTTTAAAGAAAACTTACCTCTTGAAGTCCTTAAATTGAAGGGAGATGTAAGTGCTCTCTTTGATGGCAAATGAGAGTTTGTTGGGACCCTCATGAGGCTAGTCCAGTTGCTACTTTGTGAAAGCAGTGACTGGGTCGAAAGAGGTTTTGTGAGTGGATCGAAAGATTTTTTATCACAAGTGATAGGGGTAACTCAAAAGGCTACCGTATGATAGCTGGGTGAGTGGGTCGAAGGGTGTTTTGATGGTCACTTGGAGGGTAAATCGAAGGTTTTTTCTTAGTGTATAAAAATGTTTGAAGAAGAATGTTGGGAAGTGTTTGAGAATTTTTGAGAATTTTCACAAGTGTTTTCTTGCAATCCTTCAGGCGCCCCTCATATGTGTGGTGATGCCTCATTTTTATAGATGGCTTGGGTTGATGCTTTGGGAGGGATAACAAAATGTTCAAACAAAAGGGGTATGTTGTATTTGTAGCTTTCGAGGGACAATGTTTTATTTCCATTTTGGTGGAATGAATAGGGCAGTAATGCAGGACTGCTGGGCAGCAGTTTTGGAGTTTTATGACTAATGTATCAGGCTTGATCCTGGAAGCACATGGGACTTGGGTAACAAGTACCTTTGGAATATCAGCCTTTTGTCTTGATTCCCTAGCCTTACCTTTCGACCAGAATTTTCAATAACCATCTCCTTTTTTAAATCGAAGTGTCATTCGAATGACTCCCATGGATATCCTTCGAAGGGGCCAAATTAATGCTCTTGGGATGGGTCAGTAACATATGTCCTTCGATTGGGGGCATCCAGACATGCCTGATAAACCCTTCGAATGCACCACCATGGTGCTTCCTTCACCTGAGGCAATGGCATAGTGAAGAGTTTGAAGCCATTTATTTTCAAGGGGATACTGCCCACTCAACTTTGTCTGTAGAGGGGCCATATGGCCAAACAAAAGAGGGTATGCAGGAGGTTCCTTCCTTGTGACCTTATGAAAATATGTTCAAACGAAAACTTGTAAAAGGGAAGCCACATTCCCAAGCGAAAGGCATGACTAAATATTTGTGCTGAAGGATTCACACCCCCAAATGAAGGATGCATGCATGGGATGAAAGACTCAATCGAAGCTTGCAATGCTGGGAAATTCATTGCCCCAAACGAAGGAGGCTTGCAGGGGTGAAATGTGTGATCGAAAGAGGGCCAAAGGGGGTTTTAGCCTCCTGAATTGAAGTACATCATCAGGAAGCTTTTTGCCTTGTGAATTGAAGCTATATTAAGGGGAAATGTTGCCTTGTTGAAACTTCTAACAAAATGCTTCAAAGGGGACTTTGGCCTTGTGCACACTATTATGGTAGGAAATTTTTCCTTGTATGTCTTGGCTAACACGCAGGGGAGATGATGTGTGGCCAAACGAAGGACTTGCACAAACATTCAAACGAAGTCTAGCGCTAAAACGAAGCAGGAAATGATCTTATCCAAATGAGCCCAAAGCCTTAATCGAAGCATGAAATGAACCTGCCCCAAAGGAAACCAGCGCTCAAATGAAAGATGCCACCAAGGCCAAAGTGTCCAATCTAAAGATTCAAAGTCCAAAGGAACTTGATTTATCTTTAATTTTGTCAAAAAGAGCATTTTCATTTGTTTTGTCTTTTTTAGTTGTTTCTTCCTTAATCTAAATGCTGAAAAATCCAAATATATTTGTGTAAGCTTGGATCTTGGGAATCCTTTGTGTGAATTGTCTTGAGGAATGAGAGGGAAAATTTTGGGGTACAACACACATCAAGTGTTTGCTGGAAAGCCTGGCTTCGTGCGCGCGTGACGTGGCTTGTGCTGGGCAAAAGTTCAGCTTGCATGGTACCTTCTTCCCATGATTATATCTCAAAATGTAGGGATTATTTGAGAAACTTTCTGAAGCAAAGTTGTTCCTCATATTTAGGGCTTGATCTTTGACGTTGGACATTTTTCAAAATAATGAAAAATTTTAAGGATAAAAACAATGGTGAAGGCATGCCCACAAACTGTTTGATAAAAGGCTTATCTTAACGCGCGCGTGGCTGGGCAAAATGCCTTCTCCAAGCCTTAAATACTAATCAATATATCTCTCTCTACACTTGACCACTTGAAATTATTCTTGAACCAAAAATGAAGAGCACATTTCATACTTCAACCTTCATGTTGCCAACTTTTTGATTTGAGCTCAAATGGACTTTCAAAAATAGTCATGAAGGAATCAAATTTTTGTGCATATTTGAGAAATTTCACTAAGTGTCCAAAACTTACAAGCTCTATAACTTTTTCTCCTTTCATTTTTTGGACTTGAAGCCTCTAATACAAAGTTGAACGATTTTGTTTCCTCTTTTCAGGCATCTAAAGTTTGTACATTTTCAATAAAAATTGAAGAAGTTATGATCAATCAAAATTCAGTACTATGAACAATTCAAAACTCCAAATAACTTCATTGACAAGTTATCTCCAATTCACACTTCAAACTTGATTTTATGCCACCATTGACCATGAAATATGAAAATAGGGACATTGAATTGATAGTTGACCAAAAGTCTCCTTGGTCAACAGTTGGCTTTGGTTAACTTCTGACAAAATAACCAATTTACCCCTTCTATCAATTGAGCCATTTCAAACCCAAAATGATGATCAAATTTCCAATCATAGATGCTCACGAACATGTAGAGAGACATGGAATCCAGTATTGCCTAAAAAATGAAAGACTCCTTGATTAAATTCCAAACCCTAGTTTTGATCCTCTGGGCTAGGAGATGGCAAGGTACATGCAATTGTGACATCACCTACAAGATGACAATCAAATAAACATATATATATATATATATATATATATATATATATATATATATATATATATATATATATATATATATATATATATATATATATATATATATATATATATATATATATATATATATATATATATATATATATATATATATATATATATATATATATATATATATATATATATATATATAGTTTGATGTTAGTCAAAAGGATATATGTAAAATATACACAATTTAAGGTGCTTGATGATCCATCATGGACAAACATAAAGATAGTATGAAGTAGGAGAAGTACACAAAATCCTAATGTGTGATCTTGTTGTATTGTGATGGTATATGATGATAGAGAATTCTTAGGGGCAAAAATTGGGGTACAACACTATCCTAATGTCTAACTCGAAAGCTACTCTAATCGAGCGATCCTAAGGGAGCATGGCATATCAAACAAGTGCTTTAGCAAAAGTACACAATCAGGGTATACTGACTTAGGGGATGGGGGTATGAAGAGAAAGTGCTTTAGCTAAGGGGGGCGGATCACCCTAAGAAAACAAGCGCGAGACTGAGATGAAATAAAAAAATAAAAGCATTACTTTAGCTAAGTGGAACGGATCACCCGAAGCAAACAAGCGGGTAGCGGAGTATCAACAATGGCCATTGCAAACTCCTAACAAAGTTTGGGGGTTGGTTGCGAACCCTTCTCCATATGACCGACTTGATACACAAGATCTACACGACTCCGACGCATCGATGTACAAGGTGAGCTAAGGATGACAAGGACTAGAATGTGCGGGTGTCGATTAAGGACCCTTTCCGCGTGCCTCATTTTGAGGACTTCAATACAGAATGGGGAAGATGCGAGCACAAATGTAAGCATGCCTACAGAATACCTACTAAAAGGTAGGATTTTAAACAAATACAAGTAGCAAACAAGGCACATATGCGGAATTTCCTTAAACATGTCTTTAAATAAACCAGAGGGATTCCTAACATGATCAACAATGGAAATCCCCATCATACATCTCTATTCCTACTTGACATGGCAAGGAAAGTGGTAAAAACCCTACTTCTCAAGATCTCTAGAAAGCGATAAATGTTGAAATAAGGTAAACGAGAGAAAATATCAAATGAATATCAATTTGTAACAAAGCGTATTGAAACAAAGAAACCCGATGATCTTCACGAAAGCTCCCCCGATCAAGGAAAAGAGTCAGAAATTGAATGCTAGAAATAAGTGTCGAGGAATGATCAATGTGAAAATAAATCACAATCTAAATCTCGAGCATATCTGCATATCGCACAATAAACCTAACGGAGAAAGTCTGTTGCCTCTTGAACGTGCCCAAAATCTCAAGCAATATGTCAGAAGCTCCGCAAGCTATCAACCGAAATAATCCTCAAGCATTTCATATCGCCAAATTCATATCAACATTCTATCACTAAAAATTAATCATGAAAAAGTGAAGGAAAATGATGACAAAACTTTCAATTAAATTCTAAGGAGATCCTAAAAAATTTCTAACATATTCTACAGTTTTATCATGGCATTTTAACAACAAAATTATGGAAAGAAATAATCATGGCAATAACATTTAAATTTAAAACAGAGGGGTGTAAAGTTGAATCCGGTATTATAGTTAGCAATAAATTAAGGCGCTAAGGCCCATACTAAAGTCTAGAAGCAGCTTATTTTTTGCGCTTCAATAATAGGCTTCAAAAAACTACAATTGGCCCAAGGGATTTGAATAATTCGGCCCCGGTTATCCACCAACCAACTCACCATCAGACCTCTCCTGCATACCCCATCAATTTTCTATTAATTGGAGTATATTATTAAACAAACACAAAAACATTAAACCAAATTGAAAACATGGAATAGCAAAAACGCCTTCTTGTAATAGAGCTAGGGCTCAAATATTTGTGGTTGTTCATACTTTCACGAAGCAGAGACTTGCGTCTTCTCAAACCTTCTTCTCAAACAGCGGCGACGGCTCATTCCTCTTTGCAGAAGGCGGCGACGGCTCATTCCTTTTCGCAGACGGCAGCAACGTCTCATTCTTTTTCCTTGAGCACTTCCGCAACCGATTTATGTTTGTCACTTCTCTAATCGGTGCAGATCACTCCAACTTCCATCTTCGATTCAACTCCTTTGATGCTTACGGTGTCGCCGAAGAATGATATTCATGTCGTTTCCGCCTTCCTCGTCTTCGCTTCTGGTTCTCATAATTTCAGATCATTGTGGTGTTGATACCACCCTCGCGTCATCTCCATCATAGATCTCTTTTTGACAACGCTCCAATTAGAGTTTGTTAGCATTGAAATCATCAGAGCCTTTGGATTTCAGGAATCTCTTAGGACATTGAGGGCTCAGATTAATCCTGTTATCAGAATATTGCTCAGCTGTAAATTATGGCTATCATGAGCTGTCCAATTCTGTTTCTGATTTAATTCTTCTGTACTATCTCCATGTGTCCCTCCTTGCACACGGTTTTCACCCTTTCCCTTTTATATTTTCCTATTTTTTTGATACTGTAATTTTCTTCCGACTTTGCAGGTGCATGGATGGTACAAACATGGGACGATGGGCTGTCATGGTAAATAAGGTCTTCATATTTGCAAGGCATTTAGCATGAGGTTGGAAGCATACAATTGGCATGGAGATTAGGATATGTTTATCTTGTTTTACTTCTTTTTGCTGTAATGTTTTTTTTTTTTTTGTAATGGAGAATGAAGAATTTTGTTGGAAATTTTGAATAGCATTGATTGATGAATAAAGATGCATCAAGTGAACTTGAGTGAGAAACTTGAACTAAACCTTGAATCTTGTCTTGTAATTTATTACTCTCAAGTGAACAAATCTTCCAAACTTAGAATATGGATCCACTTGTCAAACTTGAATCAAAATAGTCACTTGTATTGATTTTAAATCGCTCTTAAACTCAAAGGAACTTGAATAACTTTGCTTGAGATTTTCATGACAACGAAAGAATTTTGAGAGAACTCTGGATGATCTTGATTTTTTGTAAGAAATGAATAACTATCCTCCAAACCTTATAGGAATTTGAGCATTGCAGATGAGTAATAGATAGATCTTGAATAATGGATGATGAAGAATGTGATAGTAGATGAATGAATGAATATGCCTTTGTTACTTGATCTCAAGAAATTCAACTATATTTTCTTCCTAACCTTGCAAACATTAAGCGCTTCAATTCATTTGAAACAATCCAAATTCAAAATAATAATGAACCTAAGTTTAAATCAAATCTCGAGTTCGAAATTCAATCTCAGATTCGAACCAACAAGCCTCAATTAAATGAAGACAACAAAAGATATCTTGATCACAACCTCATCCTTCGTACCAAAATTCACCTTAAACAATAAGGTTTCTTGAACTAGTGATTAGTGAATTATTAAGATAAATCTCCATGCCCTTTCGTCTTGAAGAAATCCTCTTGTCTAAGTCAACTTCAGATGATGCCCTAATCTTACGAGGAATATAAGGAAATAAACCTTAATCTCAAGAGATACATAGGAGAACAGTGATTAAAGAATCAACACTTGCAAATTCAATTCTTTGATGGCACAAAGAATCAAATGAGATATCATGAGGCTTTGAGAAGCCTTGGTAACCCGAATGATCAAATTAATGAGGTGATGAGATCCATATTGGGATGATTGGCAATACAACCAAAATTTGTAGCTTGTAGAGAACTAAAAATCCTTGATCCCATCACAATGCATGAATGCGATGCAATATGATGATTATGATGAAACATAAGCCTAAATCAAGAGGGTAATTTTTGGGGTGCAACATCTTCCAATTGTGATTGTGATGCATACAAATCTTTAAAACATTCAAATTGTTAATGTTCTCACAAACTTGCTTCATTTTTGAACATATTTCCTTCATAAACTCTTTTAAAGCATAAACTATAAAACATCAAAAACATGCTTTCAACTTTCACTCTTTTGTCACGACTTTTACCAAATAAAATACATGGATTCTCATCCACTTGTATTATTATTGCTTGTGTGAATAACATGTTCCCTTAGGCTTACTTGGTTCAATTTAAATCTTTGATGAAACTTGAACCAAGATAGAAATTAGGATCTCAATCCAAGCATGACAACATTAGGATGAAATTCCCCCTCAATCCAAACCCTAAGTCTATCATGGCATGATAACATCAAGTTAGATTCCCCACAATCTCAACTATAGGATCAATCTTTGCATGACAACATTAAGATCAACAAGTCTCCCCATTAGAATTTTCTTTTCTTTTTGCATTGCATCATTAAGACTAAAATTGTTTCTCAATCAAAACCTCAAAACACTTAACAATATTCAAAACCCTTTCAAAACTAAAGGTATGAAGGTGATGGGTGTCTCCTTGGATGAGGGTCAACTTAAAACCTTATTCCTAACAAAACACAAACCAAATCCTAATCATTTTTCTGAGGGTTTTTTCACTTAAAAACATTTTCAAAAAGGATATACTAACTCCATTCACAAAATAACGATGTATAGTCTCCAACGGTCGAGTGGCAACGTTAACTGTTAGAATGTGAATTTAATATTCATCCTTAAAAAACACACCACAAACAAAACATTTTTAAGAAGAACTATAGAATTATGATTCCCTTGTGGATACATAGGCATGGAGTTTCAATTTTTCATGCGAATGCACTAATAAAACCCTTTTCTTTTCCTAATGAATAAATGCATACATTTCCCTTTAGCAATATAAAATATAGATAAACACACCTATTGAATAGAATAAAAAGAGTGGATCCCATAAAGTACCACATATGTGAGGGGTTTTAATATCTTCCCTTTGCATAATCGACTACTTACCCAAGATTTTGTTGCGAGACCATGTTCTTTTCCCGATACCAAAAGTTCTCTATATATTTTCTTTAACATATATTCTTTGGGATAAATAAATTTAGGTGGCGATTATGTTTGTTCCATTCGAGTTTATTTCGTTTTTCGAGTAGCTTCACCCTCAAGGGCAATCTAGGCAAGAGTTAGGGATTCTTGGCAAGTAACTGCATCAGATATGACTTAATCATTGAAAAAACAATCTTCCTTGTGTTTTCATCACTTTTCAATTGAATCCTAAGCACACGAGTTCAAAGTTGTTAGGGAGAATAGTGGTCATTGTATTTCAATGTATCTTTTCCATGTATTTACTATTTTCCAAAATTTGTAAACATCTATGGGGTCACGCCATTCACGGACTGCCATTCTATTAATAAAGTTTGAGCCTTTATCAAATTCTTTGCAATTCATATTTTATTCTGCTAGCAAAAATTTAATTTATTATTGATAGTAAATTTTGAAACAAAAAGAATTATATAATAAAACATGTTCCCAAATTGAAACAAAAAGAATTAAATTTCATTTACTCTCGCAGATGTGCGCATGGTTTCCCCTACAGTTGTTAATCAGATAGTGGGCCTCCTCCAAGTTTCTATGTGGTGTTGGGTTTATGATCCCATGTTCCCCAGTTGAGTCTTGAGTCGAATTTTTTCTTAGTTGTTGGATTCTTTCTCCCTTCTGTTGAGACTTGATATAGAATCTTCTACATAGTATTTTACCTGTCCTTTTATGACATTGTTGCTTCTGTGTGCTCCCTAATTAGCAGGTCAAAAGTGGTATCTTTTCTAAAAGTTTTGAGATAGCTGTCAACTTTTTGGTTTTCTTTCGCTGTGTGTTGAGTTTGATTTAAAATCTCCACAAAATTGACTTCTTGCTATGGTGATAACTTCTTAGTTTCCCATGTAAACCAAGGGTGATGTTTCCCTTTAAGGTTGTTATCCACATGAAGTTTCCTAGAACGTATCAAGCGAAGTTTGTGAAATCTCTATTCTCGGTATTGGAAAATCCTAGCATTTTCTTCACAACAAATATAGTATCATCTTCCTTGGCAAAGTCTGTGTGATATCTCTCAGTGAGGCTTAGAGGTCGTTGTTATATATATCCAGATTTGTGGATTATTGTTATAGGATTATGCTCTGTTTATTCTCAAGCAAAATTTATTTTCCCAAAGAAGTTAAGCCTTGAAGTAGGACGTTGTTTCCTCAGTTGATTGCTTACTCTCTTATGTGATTTTTGTAACACCCTAATTCTACCCCAAGCAATTATACAAATTAAATCAGAGTTATAAAAATTCAATCATACAATGAATCAGGACGTCACGAATTCTTCTAATAAAATTCATTGCATTCGTCGTGGATATATAACACTTTTTCAAAACATCAGATGAACCATCAACATAACATCTTTCGTCTAATAAATAAACATCTACGCAGCGGAATTCTCAATAACATCTTTAAAATGACAAAACATCAACTTCGAAACATCTCATATTTAATAATCATCAATTTAAAGTTCAACAACTAAAAAACAACAATCTAAAATCGGCAAGCGTTCATCCCCCCGAGTGTTACATATCAGAGCAATGACACCGACTCAAACTATTGAAGGTACACAGCTTTCACTCTCGGTTACCTGCACGTTACCAACATAGGGGCAACATTCAAACAGAATGGGTGAGATATCTAACATTATAATAAAGTGCATGATAATTGATATATTAAATTAGATCAACAACATCACCGCTTCTCATCTCATAATCAACAACAATTTCAACAATAATATACATTCATCAACATCAAAATACGCTTCTTTATGAAATCATATAATGCAACTCAATACTATGCAAATGCATGTGGTACTGTTGGAGCAGAACTCCCTTCTCAAAAATCTGCCAATTAATAGAGGCATCAACAAGGCATAGCCTTCATCTTAAAATTCGCCAATACAGGCCATCTCAACGAGCAAAAGCTCCATCTCAAAAAATGCAATGTATGCGACACAACCATGAATGTAATGTCAACATCCAAATTAACAACGTCTCAAATCATCTTAAAACATCTCAAAACATCTCAATTAACATCTCAAAATAACAACTTCTCAATCATCTCAAAACATCTCAATTAACATCTCAAAATAACAACATCTCAATCATCTCAAAACATTTCAATTAACGACATCTCATAAACATCTCAAAACATTTCAATTAACGACATCTCATGAACATCTCAAAAGCATCTCAACGTCTCGTCATCAACATCTCATATCATCATAATACTTTATTAAACATCATTCATCTATTATAAATCATAAAACAGAACATCATGAGTAACTTCTCACTAAGCAACTCAGTTGTCTATTAATACTACAGTAATCCATACTGTCATAATTCAAACAGCAGCCTCTAGACATCTCACATTCATCATTCTATTCATAAATCAACACAACGGTCGACACGGGAATTAATTCTAAATCCTAAATTGGCTATTAGGATTAAACTTCTTATTCATCATTTTAATCATCTAGAATAAGGTTCATCGCGTTAATAAATCAACGCTTCGAACGGCCTCTCAAACAGCATCCTAAAACTCAAGTTACACCAATTTAAAACTGAATATGTCAAAAATCAGACATTATGTATCGACACAAAACTCCTTGGATCGACGCGTACTGCTTCATCTGCAAAACATGAGTCGACACATCCTCCTTATGGATTGACTCATCCTGGCCTTATACACAACATGTATCGAC